CGGGCCGCGGGCTCCCCGCTCTCCCGGGCCGCGGTCGTCCTGCTGCTCTCCGCCTTCGTAGTGCGGGCGCCCCCGTCAGGTGAGGCGTCGGCGCCGCGGCCCCGAGAGTGGGCTTGTCCGTGTCACGTGCGCCCGTCGACGTGCGGAAGCGCTGTACTCACGGTTCCTGGCAGGAGAGGTTTATTTTAATAGAAGTCGTGCTGAGGGACCTACGTTCACATAGGGAATCAAGCGACTGGGGGCATTAATAATGTATAGAGAGATCATTAAAACACCCACAGTTCAAACTTGGAGTTGGCTGTTAATAAAATCTCTAGTCAGTCCATGTGCCATTCGCCAGCTTTCGGGCATGTGTTTTGCTCAGTACTGCGGTGTATTTCAGAATGAGTAGGCGTCCCGCTGCTTTGTATCTATCTGTGATCGTGAAGCTCCATCTATTGGGCTTAGCTATAAAGTACAGGAAAGACTGGATTTTAAAGTTGCGACGTTCAGCGGGCACCGTTTGTTTCCTCCTTTGTATCCAAGACACCGCAATACTTTTCCATCATGCTTTCGAAATAGATTTGAGTGATGAACACACGCTGAAGTGAGAGTTTAAACTGGTGTCATTTTAGTAGGAAGTGTTTTGCATTCTTGTGTGTTCAGATTTTTGAGTTTTTAAAATAAAGTATCTCCCGGAATTGAATACTAAAAAGCACAAAAGAGATTTGTTTAAAATGCTAAAAATGATTGAAATAAGGAAGAATGAGAAAAGAATTCCTCCAAGGATATAAATGTAGAAGGGCTGCAGAGGTAGGTATGAGATAAGGGGAAGAAAAGAAAGACGTGGAGTGAATAGACATTACAAGATATGCTCAAGTGTATTCATCAGAAGTTCAAAGATCATTCATTGGTGTGAGGAGAGAAGAGCCAATAACCTTTAATTACCCTGTAGGAGAAGGATGCTTCTTGACAATGGCCTGTGGTCTTATACTATATATGATAGGCTGTGTGTGTGCTATGTTTTCATCCATTAACAAGATCAGACTTGAGGGATAAGAAATAGAATAAACAGGCAATATAAGAAATAGAATAAACAGGCAATATCTTAATATGTAAGCTACGAATAATAAAGACTGGTATTTATATAGCATTTTGTAGTTTATACAATATTACATTCAGTTCCTACAATAACTTTGTTAGTCTGGAATGTAGTCCCATTTTGCAGATGATAAAACTGAGGCTCCTAGAATTTAAAATGACTTTCCTAAGATCAGTAAGTGGCAGTTGGGGGTTAAACTTAGGCCTTCTGACTTTGAATACCATACTCTTTGTGCTTTTCTCTCTCTCTGTTAAAGGTTATTTGGGTATATGTTTTACTGAATTTTTTTATACTGCTCTGTCTGCTTGTTCTGTGCTCACTGTTGTGTCTCACACACTTGCTCATTCAACAAGGACTGAAGAAAATCAATGTATTGTATTTAACAATTATTTAGTATTTACTATGTGTGAGGTATCGTGCTTGGTACTGATTCTTGATGAATTGACATAAAGATTGATCCAGCTATCAATGGAGTTTATAATTTAATAAGGAAAAACATATATGTGCATAAAGAACTATGATATGTACAGTGAGTGTTATAAGAGAGGTGCTGATAATGTACTATGGAAAGTAAGAAATGATGAGGACAAACAGAAAGTTTGAAGGAGGAGGGACTTGTGATTTGGGTTTTGAAGGGTGGAGGATTTTGACTTTTAAAAATGAAGAGAGTATTCTAAGTGGATGTGGAAAAAGCCAGAGGCGAGATATCATGGGGGGACGCAGTGGGTAGATTAATTTCCTTGGAGCATGTGAGGGGAGTAAAGTTGGAATAGGGATACCAGATGTCAGAGAAGCTTGATTTATAGCTCTCTCCTTCAACAGAGATCAAATATACTATGATACTTGATATCATATGTGACTAGATATACTATTTGAATATCTTAGAATTTCTAATGAGGCAGATTGTTGAACATTTCTTTTCCTTTTGTTTTTAATAGTTGGGTATTTGGTTCGATTACCAAGAGGTTTCAGCTTGACCCAAGATTTGGTGAAAATAGTGGGATCACCAGATTTTCCAGGTATTAATAAATATATTTTTATAGTAAATATATATTTATATATATAATAAATAGTAATTTTGAAAAAGTAATTAGCATTTGTTTAAATTTTATCAATCTTGTACAAAAGGCTAATGTTCCCCAGGTATCCTAGTCTCTTAAGGCCCTTTTCCTTCTATGAAAATGAATGAAAGTTGTTTCCATATAGTTAGATTCATCCAGGTCTAATTCTGTTTGCTGTAACTGCTTAAATGTGAAAAAAATAATTATTTCTGAAAGTCATCTAATTAAAGTTGCCTATAGTGTTTTTGCTTGTTATTATATAATAATTAGGTACAATGTTAAATGTATGCAGTTCAAATATGGTAAGACTTTTTTCAAATGAGGTATATATATCATAGAGATTTTGGGTTCATAAGATTTTGCAGTAGTCACGTGAGGTGGAACAACTCGAACTTTTTTTGTATATATTTTTAATTGAGATAAATTCAATGCCTTAAAAGTTCTTCCTTGGAAGCAATTCAGTAGTTTTTACTATATTGACAAGGTTGTGCAACCATCAGCACTATGTAATTTCACAACATTTTCATCACTCCCAAAAGAAATGCCATATCCATTAAGCAATCACTCTCCAGCCCCTGGAAACCGCTAATCTACTTTCTATCTCTGCGAATTTGCCTATTCTGGAGATTTCATATAAGTGGAATCATATTCTATGTAGTGTTTTGTATCTGGCTTCTTTCACTTAATATAATGTTTTTGAGGTTCATTCATGTTATAGAGTGTATGAGTACTTCATTAGTTTTAATGGCTGAGTGATATTCCATTGTATAGATATACCATATTTTGTGTGTCCATCAATTGATCGCAATTTGGGTAGTTTCACTTTTTGGCTGTTATGAATATGCTGTTATAAACATTCCTGGACAAGCTTCTGTGTGAACATATGTTTTCAGTTCTCTTGAGTATATACCTAGGAGTAAAATTGCTAGAACATATGGTAACTCTATGTTTAATATTTTGAGGAATTGCCAAACTAGTTTTCAGAGAGCCCGCAGTGTTTTCTTTTGCATCAGCGATGTGTGAGGATTCAGATTTTCCAGGATTCTTGCCAACATTTGTTATTTATTGTCCACCCTTTTTAATTGTAGCCATCCTAATATGTGTGACGTGGGTTCTCATTGTGGTTTTGATTTGCGTGACTAATGATGTTTAACCCCTTTTAATGTGTTTTATTGGCCATTTGGATACCTTTTTGCAGAAATATACCTATTCAAGCCCTTTACCCTTTTTTTAATTATCTTTTTTATTATTGAGTTGGAAGACTTTTTTTAATACGTTCTGAATACTACATGCTTTTTAGATATTTGACTTGCATATATTTTCTCCCATTCTGTAGATTGTGTTTTCACTTTTTAAATAGTGTTCTTTATAATACACATTTTAAACTTTGATAAATTCTAATTTTAATTTATTCTTTGGTACTGGTGCTTTAGATGTCATGTCTCAGAAATGATTGCCTTATCAGCAGTCATAAAGTTTTACTGCTATGGTTTCTTATAAGAATATTATAGTTTTAGTTCTTACATTTAGGTTTGATCCATTATAAATTCATTTTTGCATGTGGTGTGAGGTATGGGTCAAACTTCATTCTTTTGCATGTGGATATCCAGTTGTTCCAGCACCATTTGTTCAAGAGACTTTTTTTTCTCTATTGAGTTGTCTTGATCCTATTGTTGAAAAGCAGTTTGCCATAGAGTTATGGGCTTTTCTTGGATTCTAAATTCTATTCTATTGATCTATATGTTTGTCCTTATGCCAGTACCACACTGTCTTGATTACTGTTGCCTTAATTTTGAAATCATTGGAGTCCTTCAAATTTGTTCACTTTTAAGATTGTTTTGGGTATTCTGGTCCTTGCAATTCCATGTTAATTCCAGAATCAGCTTGTAAATTTCTGCAAAGAAACCCATTGAGATTTTAGTAGAGATTGCATTGAATCTGTAGATCAATTTCAGGGTATTATCACCTTAACAATATTAAGTCATGAACATGGAGTGTCTTTCCGTTTGTCTTCTTTAATTTCCCTCAGTGATGTTTTGTAGTTTTCAGTGTACAAGTCTTGCACTTCTTTGTTAAATTTATTCCTAAATATTTTATTCTTTTTGATGGTATTGTAAATGGAATGGTTTTATTCATTTAGTTTTTGTATTGCTCATTGCTATTGTATAGAAATACAGTTGAGTTTTGCAAATTGATGTTGTATCTTGTCACCTTACTGAATCATTTATTAGCTCTGTTTTTTTTTTTTTTAGTGTGTGGGGGGTAGTTATATTCTTTGCAATTTTCTATATATAAGGTCATGTCATCTGCGAATAGAGATAGTTTTATTTCTTCCTTTCCAATCTGGATGCCTTTTGTTTTCTTTCCAGATGCTCCAGCTAGAACCTCCAGTTCAGTGTTGATGATAGCAGATATCCCTGTCTTGTTCCTGGTCTTAGCGGGAGGGAAAGTTTCAGTCTTTCATTATTAAGTATGATGTTAGCTCTGAGTTTTTTGTAGATGCCCTTTGTCAGATTAAGAAAGTTCCCTTCTGTTCCTAGTTTGTGGAGTGCTTTTGTTGTGAAAGGGTATTGGATTTTGTCAAATGCTGTTTCTGTGTGTATTGAGATGATCATGTGGTTTTTGTCCTTTATTCTGTTGATATGGTATTACATTGATTGATTTTTCTATTTTGAACTAGGCTTGCATTCCTGGGATATATCTCAGTTGATTATGATGTATAATCCTTTTTCATGCTGCTGGATTTGGTTGCTAGTGTTTTGAGGATTTTTGTCTATGTTCATAAGGGAGATTGATCTGTAGTTTTCTTGTGTTGTTTTTGTCTGATTTTGGTTCTAGGGTAATAGTGGCTTCATAGAATGAATTGAGATGTGTTCCCTCCTCTTCTCTTTTTTGAAAAGAGTTTGTGAAATATTATTGTTAATTCCACTTTACTTGTTTGGTAAAGTTTACCAGTGAATTCATCTGGTGCTGGGCTTTTCTTTGTGGGAAGTTTTTGATTACTAATTCAATCACTTGACTTGTTTTAGGTCTTTTCAGACTTTCTATTTCATTACGGTTTCTGCTGAGAAATAAGCTACTGATTTTATTGAGGATCACATGTATGTAATGAGTTGCTTCTCTCTTGCTGTTTTCAATATTCTGTCTTTTTTTTGGATTTTGAAAGTTGATTATGATATTGTCTAAATGTGGGTCTCTTTGAATTTATCCTAGTTTGAATTCATTGAGCTTCTTTGATGTGTAGATTAATGTTTTTCATCAGTTTGGGGAAGTTTTATTATATTTCTTCAAATATTCTTTCTGTCCCCTTCTCTCCACTCTTTCATGGACTTACGTTATATATATACTGAGATGTTTGATGGTTTCTCACAGGTCTCTGAGTACTGTCCATTTATCTTTATTCTTTTTTTTTCTTTTTCTCAAACTGGATAATCCCAAATTGATCTACCTTTAGGTTTGCTGATTGCTGATTCTTTCATCTGCCTGCTCAGATCTGCCGTTGATTCTTTATAGTGAATTTTTAAATTCAGTTATTGTACTTTTTAATCCAGAATTTCTTTTTGGTTCTTTTTTACAATTTCTATCTTATTGATAGTTTATAATTGGAGAGACATCATTTTCATACTTTTTTTTAGTACTTTAGACATGATGTTCTTTGATCATTTTTAAAATAACTGGTTTAAACTCCAGTACATCCAAATTTTGGGCTTCCTCAGGGACAGTTTCTATGGTTGCTTTCTTTTTCTCCTGCCTATGACTGTACTTTCTTGGCTTTTTGCATGTCTCATATTTTTGGTTGAAAACTGGAAATTTTAAGTAATATAATCTAGCAACTCTGGAAATCAGATCCCCCGCCTCCCCAGGTATTGGTGGTGTTGCTGTTTGTTGTTATTGTTTTTTTGTTTTGTGACTTATCTGTACTAATTCTGTAAATTATGTGTTCTTTGTCATGTGTAGCCCCTGATGTCTCTGCTCAGTTAGCTTAGTTAAGCTAATGATTGAACAGAGATTCATTAAACACCTGGAACCAGTTAGCCTCCTAGTCTTTGCTGAGGGTCTTTGTGTGCTTGTTGTGACATACCTTAAAAATTTCGCCAGGCAATTGACAACTCTACGTTGTCCTTTCCTTTCTGCTGTGCAAAAGCCTCAATTTCAGCCAGAGATGAGAACTTAAGGCCTCTCAATCTTTACTGAGCATGCATGCCCTGTGCTGTGCATGCACGTGGCTTTCTATTTTCCCAGGAACATGTGAGAACTTTTAAAAATTACTGAGCATGCCCTGTGCTGTGCATGCACGTGGCTTTCTATTTTCTCAGGAACATGTCAGAACTTTTCAAAGCTCCTATGGACGTGTCATTCCCCAGCTTTTCCTCTTAAGCTTTTTTGTTGGCCTGTTGTTTACCCCGTCTGTAACCGACTGCATCAGGCAGTTACAAAGTTAAATGATAGCTTCTAGTTGTTTTTTTTTTTTGATGAGGAAGATTGGCCCTGAGCTAACATCCATTGTCAATCCTCCTCTTTTTGCTTGAGGAAGATTGTCCCTGAGTTAACATCTGTGCCAATATTCCTCTATTTTGTATGTGGGACACCACCACAGCATGGCTTGATGAGAGGTGTGTAGGATCTGAACCCACAAACCCCAGGCTGCCGAAGTGGAGCGTGGAAACTTAACCACTATGCCACTGGGCTGGCCCCACCTCTTGTTGTTTTTGACAAATACTCTTGGGGCAAAGGCTTTCCAAGTTAGGTCAAATAAAGACACCTTGTGAGTGATGTCTTCTAGGAAACAGCCAGAAAGGTCAAATAATGACAATTGTCTTGGAAGGAGTCATTGAAGGACTTCTGACCCCATCTGCTCCTCTAGTGGCTGCCAAGCTGCTGATTCTTACAGTTACTGTGGCATGTTGGTTTTCAAAGCTGTTGCAGAACTGGGGAGGAGAGATGGGAATACGGCAATTTAAAATGCTGCAAGCTCACTCTTCTTACCAGATATATTAGTTTGCTAGGACGACCATAGCAAATTATGACAGACTGGGTGAATTAAACAACAGGAGTTTGTTATCTCACAGTTCTGGAGACTAGAAGTCCAATCATGCAGGAATGGTTCGTTCCTTCTGAGGGCTGTGAGGAAAGGATCTGTTCCAGCTCTCCTTCCTTGGCTTGTAAATGGCCATCTTCTCCCTATGTCTCTTCACACTGGTTTCCCTCTGTATTTGTCTCTGTGTCCAAATTTCCTCCTTTTGTAAGAACACCAGTCGTATTGGATTTGGGCTCACCCTAATGACCTCACTTTAACTTCTGTAAAGACTCTATCTCCAAATAAGTTCGCAGTCTGAGGTTCTGGGGATTAGGACTTAAATATGAATTTTGGGAGAGGCATAATTCAACCCATTATACGGAGATTCAGTTGTTTTTCTTTAATAAATTTTTCCTGGGTTGCTGCAAGTCTTTGATTAATTTCCAGAGTTCTGAAATGTTGATTCTGAAAATTTCTGCCATTTTTCTCATTACTGTTATGAAGGAGATAATTTTTGGAGTTTCTTACTCTGCCATTTTTGCTAATATCACACCTTTTATCACAGCTTGTTTTAAAACTACAACTTTTAAACCTAAAGTATAAAGCAGTTATGTGTAACTAATTTCCATTATATTGCTTTATTTTATTGGATATGATTAAATTTATTCTTAAAAATGGATTAACATTTCAGTTCAGCTTGTATTTCTTATATCACAAAGTAGATTGTTATATGATATTTTACTAGTCTTGCCTCCATAAAATGCTGACTGCCTGATTTTTCTTGCCTAGAATTTCTTCAGTTTCTTCTGTCATGCAAGGTCCCAGCAACTGTCCATGTCAGCCGTTTTTCTATTTTGTGATCCCCTCTTTAACTTGTTCACCTTTTACTTACTCTTTTCTGTTCAGTTGGTCTTCTGTTTTCATTCACTCATGTATCCATTCATTCAGTTATCATTTATTTACATCTTTATTGTACTTTAAGTTCATTACATTTTTTTGGTATTTGTGGTGAATACCATTTTGTATATTTCTTTTTGTACCTGTTCAGAAGTTTTCTGGGTCTTTTATATCCAGGAGTAGAAGTTCATCATTATAGGACCTAGCATTCTCAATCTCACTAAAATTGCTCTTCAAAATGGCTGTGCTAGTTTATGCTTCCACCAGCAGTGCTTTTCCCGCATCCTCACTAGCATGAAATATTACCCAAGTGTTCCATTTTTGCTAAATTGAGAGTTATGTTACCTTCGCTCATCATTTTCCTGTTGTTTTCAAAGGAGTTACTTTCATGTTATTTATATTCCAGTTATAAATCCGTTATCAATTATCTTTGTTGCAGATATCTTCTCCCAGAGATCAAATTGGTCATGCTTTTTGTTCCAGATGTTAACTTTGCCTTTGTTGTATAGGATTGAACAGAAATTGTTAATATTTAAGGAGTTGAGTTCAGTATTTTTCTTTTTATGTTTGTGCTCTTTGCATTAAAAGAATCTTTCCATATCCCAAAGTCATAAAAGTATTAATTAACATTTTTTTAAAATAATGATTGCCTTTGCTTCTTTTGTCTGTCGAATTTATTTTTTGTTTATGGTGTGAGGTATAAACTTAATTTCAATTTGGTTTATATATTGAGATAATTTTTTTTTTTTTTTAAAGATTTTATTTATTTATTTTTCCCCCCAAAGCCCCAGTAGATAGTTGTGTGTCATAGCTGCACATCCTTCTAGTTGCTGTATGTGGGACGCGGCCTCAGCATGGCCGGAGAAGCAGCGCGCCGGTGCGAGCCCGGGATCCGAACCCGGGTCGCCAGCAGTGGAGCTCGCTCACTTAACCACCAAGCCACAGGGCCGGCCCAATTGAGATAATTTTTAAACATATTTACTACTAATCTATGTTTTCCAGTGATCTAAGGTGCCTCTCTTATCATATAGTAGTTTTTTATGCCTATTTTTTCCCCTAAACCCACTATTCTTTGTTCCTACAACAGAACATTCTGTTATAATTAGTATAACTTTGTAATTTATCTTAATAATTTGTAATGCTAGTCCCTCCTCTTTGCTTTTCTTTTATAGAATTCTTATATATTTATGAACCTTTAATTTTCTAAGTATATTTTAGAATAAATATTTAAGAGTTTCTTTAAAAATTTTTCTGAGATGTTGGTTATAGCTATATTAATTATATACATAAATATGAGGATAAATGGGCATCTTTAAAATTATGAGTGCACTCTCATGATTATGGCATTGTGGTCTAATTGTTTATCTTTTGCTGGAGTCCAAACATGTTCCCCATAATGGTCTTGTGGTCTTGATTGTAATTAACTTCTGTTTATTGTTCTTTAAATGCTGTCTTCTTTCCTATTACATAGTTTAATGCATTATTATTGATGTAGAGGAATGTTATTATTTTTTTTATTGATATTGGGAAACTCTTCTGGATTCACTTTTATTTTCTATGATTTGAATATGTGCAGAGGTTAGTGGGGGCTAAAGGAAGGGTACAGTAATGGCATGGGCTATTCCGACTGTCAGCGCCAGAGCAGAAAGGGAATACTTAAGCTGAGCTTCCGAAGATGAGGAGGCGTTTAGGTACTTAGATGAGTAAAACCATAGAAGAGTGGTTCAGTGTGGTGCTTTAGGGAGGTCTTAGAAGTTTGGCATGGTTGGGGCAAAGGGTATGAAAAGAGGTGTAATGAGGTATATGTAAAAGACAGATCATGGAGAGGAAGGCTAGTAAGTCATGCTGAGGAGTGACAGTTTTATACAGCCAGCATTGATTAAAGAAGTTAGAAAAGGGAAGATGAATTTAAACTGAGGTAAGTAGAAAGAAATAAGAGGAGAAATTAATGAAAGAAATCAGAGAAGAATAATAGGTTGAATTGAATCAAAAGCTGTCTTTGGAACAATTAGTAGACAAACTTTTGGTAAATGTTTCATGATAGAATAACGAAAGTACAAAAAATTATATGAATAAATAAAGATGTGAACTTTAAAAGTCATAACTTAATATTCTGAATAATTTTATACTAATAAAATTGAATAACTCTAGTAAAATATAAATTTCTTAAAATAGACTTGATTTAGGTTACTCAGTTGACTAATAATCAGTTAAATTCTCCTGATTGGTAATCAAAAATTTGTTTCCCTACTCCTCACCCTTGCCAAAAAAAAAAAAAAAAATTACAGCTATGCGGTTTTTCAAGGAGAAAAACACTTTCCATATTCTTTCAGAGAAAATTTATAGAAGAAAATCTGTCCAATTCATTTTATGAGCTATTATAACCTTAGATGCCTACCTTAATAATGCTAAATACTAAATAACAACTTTGATACCGAGATTGGAAAAGGACAGAGAATAGTATAAGAAAATTATACATATTTGCATTTATGAATATAAGTGCAAGTATTCCAGGAAAAATATTTGCAAATTGAATCCAATAGTATTTAAGTATAAGAGCATGATCAATTAGAATTATTCCAGGAAAACAATCTAGTAATATTAAACATTCCATTAAAATATTCAAGAAGAAAAAATGATCACCTCAATCAATATAGAAAAAAAAGTTTGCTAAAATTCAACAGCAATTTATGATAAAAACAACCAACCAAGAGTAGAGGGGAACTTTCTTAACCTAAGGAAGGATAAAAAGCTCCATTCAATAAACATCATGCTATATGGTGAAACTTTAGAGACAATCTCTTCAAAGTTAAGAATTTTGACTCTCAAAAACAATTTTTATTTTACTGGATTACAAAAATCTTTGTATGTGAAGAATCAGTGAAGAGTTGGCATGCAGTTACTGAGGAGTTGTTGGAACCTTTTCTTAACTGAGTAAATTCAAAACAATTGAATCTTTACTGTGTTCCTTTTGTATCTCCTAAAGAATACTACTTTTGCTTGTTTAATGATCAGGATTCTCTAAATTTTAGAGCAAAGTGGGAAAAAATGTTTAATAATTAAAATCATTCAAAGCACATATTTGTTGACTTTTTAATCACATAATTTTAAAATTCAGTATATCGTGTTATATCATTGTGAGTAATGTATTATTCCTCTAAACAAATTTAGCTTAGCAGTTCCTTTCTGGTTTGGTGTCATTGCAAAACAGAGTCTAGGTATAGAATTACCTTAATACTTTGTAATTAAAATAATATTCTTAGAGTAAAATAATTTAGTATACATGAACTTTGAGTAAAAAAGACCACTACTGAGGTCCAATTGAGACTCACACACACACCCAGATGAAATACATGTGTATATTTTAGAATGTTAGTTACATAGAATGCAATGAAATCTGGTTCTTATCAAATAATAGCTATAATCCAAAGAAAACTTACGAAAACATGTAACCCAAACTACAAAAATGTAAAGCATTATAGGGCCTTTAAGAACATGACATATTATTGGAACATTCTAATATTGTGTTTTCAGTGAAAGTATATGTTATGCTCCATCAAAAGAGTCCACACTTGTTATGTGTAACCCAGCGACTGAGAAATTCTGAACTGATAGACCCATCATTCCAATGGCATGGGCCAAGAGGAAAAATTATTTCAGGTAGGATTTTGTTTCAGTTATCATTAAATTGATAATATTAATTAAATTGATATATCTGAAATGTATGCAGAACAAAAAGAATATTTATATTTCATATACATATATCTTTCCCCTCACTTGTTTTTCTTGTGATTTCGTTTTGGAGTTAGAATTTAGCAATGTAGATGCTTTGATCATTTTTTGCAAGATCTTGATTTGAGATAGAGAGACACTAGATGATTGAAATGTTTGGAGAGTTCTCTAAGCATCTCTATTCCAAAAAAATGTTACTTTTTTTTTAAAGTTCATAAAATCATTTTGGTTACTTCAATCAGATTTTTGTTAGTAAAGTATGTATGAAGAGGCAAATATGATTTTGGCTTTTGTTAAAAATAGAAATGAACACTTTGTGTTATAGATTTATATGGTTTTGTTTCTTTAAACAGCCTCACATAGGAACAACTTGAGACTTTATTAGTAGTTATAATTTTATATTTTGTGATCTTATATTTCTTTCTGACCAAAATCCTGGCCAGACAATATGGATTGTATTTGAATTTAACTTAAGTATTATTATCCATTTTGAAAAAAATGACTAAATTTAACACTTAATATTTTAGTATGAAAAACATGCTTTTAAACATACTGCGTGATTTGACAGTGGCTATATAGTAATATATTATTGATGCTGTGCTTACAAAAGAGGAGACTTAGCACTCAGGTATTCATCTGGAGGACAAGATGGACTTGAGACACATCTGAATGGTAGCCTTACAGTTTTCAAATTTTTGAGAAAACAAGATCTTATTCTCATAAGAGTATTATTTTCCACATAGAGATTACCTTTGGTATGACTGATTTGATCAACATTTTCTCCGTTCACCTTCTTATTTTGTTATTTTGCAATGCATATTTACTATTACTCTGATTTTTTTTTTTGATTTGCTTTTGCAGTGTAGTTTAAAAAATATAAATTAGCTTAGCTGTTTTTTTCAGCCTTGCTAAAAACCCAGATTAATGAATTTTCATCATGAAGACCTGTACCTAATCATTTTTGCATACTTTCTAAGGAAGTTTTTCTTTATTGCTCTGTTCACCATGTTTGCTTTCTTTTTTTAAAATCCTTATTGGTATTTTGAGATAGTGCCTATGGATGAAAACCTACAGGTTTATTTTGTTATCTTGGATGAAGGAAAGCAGTATATTCATTCAAAGGCTTGTTAAAGAAACTTTCATAAGAAATATTTATTTTGTAATATGTTTTAATTCATATTTTTATATAGTTGAGGGATCTCAGATGTACATTTCTATAATATTCATGCTGCTTCTAAAATAGCTCAAGATTTAAAGAGTTACTCCACTCTTCAGGGTAGGTGGTGGTTCTTCAAAGTGAATTATTCAACTCTTAGTGAGTGCTTGACTACTTGGTGGATGCCATTGTGCTAGGTTTTGTGGGAGGTACAAAAAACAGACATAATCTCTACCTGACTGTAGTAATGTGTTAGGAATGAATCAGCAGAGGTCAGGAACAGAAATACTAAGAGGTAGGGCAATTAATATAAATCAATGAAATGGGCCAGATGTAAAAGCATCCAATACTGAAAATATAATCAAATTTTATTTTTATTGCTCTCTGATAGTAGCACATGATGTAGTGCAAACATGTGTATTAAATATATTTTACATTTGATATTGAAATTCTGTAAGCTCAAAAATAGAAGCATTTAAGTATGTATTGAATTGTTCTATCATAATTTGTTACTCCTTTGATTTGGAAATTGAAATCTGAAACGTTTTCTTTTTGAAGATGCCATGCCAAGTCTTGCAGATTATATTGCAAAACCAAATATATGATTGAATTTCAGATCCTTTAACTAGGAGCAATATTTTATTTTACTCACTTTCATAATGCAAAATAGATATTCAGAAATGTAGTTATTTCTAGGTAAGGATAAAATCATATTAATACAATGGTTTTTATATTTATAAATATTTCCAGGAAATTCTGGTATTCTGACATCATGATTGTAGTTTAGTTTTCAGTGCAGTATCACATCACAGTTTACTGTCTACCAGTTTTAAAGCTCATTAGTTCTACTCTCACTATTATTTCAGAAAGAACTGGAAAATATTGTCTAACTTTCTTAAAGCTTGAAAAACAGAGAACCTTTTGGACTCTAGATTAAACTATACTGTATTTTAGTCATCATCTTATGAATATACCAAAGATAGTTCCTCTAAGATTGAACCAAAGAAATCACGCAATTATGTAATTACTTGCACATTCCTTTGGAGAGAAATATTCAGATTGTTTAGATAGGTTGTAAAGTGTAAGGGACGCATCTTAGATTTGGTCTGTCTCTCTCTCTCCCTCCACCCCTTCTCTTTCTGTCTGTCTCTCTGTCTCTCTTTCAGTAGTTTTTATTTACAAAAGTAATGCATTTGTTAGAACAAGATCTTACCTCTTACTCCAACCTTAATATCATTCTGATGAATTAACTCTTTCTGGTGTGTGGACGTCCTTATTTTTCTAAATGTTCACACAAACATATAAAATCACATATACATACATATGTTGGGCTTTACCCTGTAACTTCACTCTTTTTTTTTTACTGAGATCATACATTATATTTACTCTAACTTAATGTTTTTATTGTAAAGCATTTGATAAGTACAAATATATGTAAGATACATACAAGCTATGAAGCACAATAAAACAAACATTGTTTGAACTTAGTATACAAGTCAAGATATACCATTACCAACACTGTTGAACCCCCCAATAAGTTGTTTAAAAATCCCATTCTTCTGTGCCTAACTGCCTGTCAGGTAAACACTATCCTCAACTTTTACTATATTGTTTTTTAGCGTTTCCTTATGCATTTACTATATATATATATATATATAGTATATGTATATAGTATATGTGTATATATATATATGTATATATGTATGTATATATACATATATATGTATATGTATATTATATATATACATATATATACATATACGTATATATGTATGTATCCTGCAAGAGTGTATTTTAGTGTTTTTATTTTGAATTTTGTAAAAATAACATTTATAAATTTGTCATGCATCATATACTGTTCTAAGCAATTTACGCACACTAATCATTTAATTTTTACAGCAGCCTTTGCAGTAAGTACAGCCATTTTCTCCATTTTATATATGAGAAAACAGAGGCTCTGAGAGAATAAGGAACTTTCCTGAAGTCATGTTCCTTTGAAGTCTTGCTTCAGAGTTCACAGATATAATCTAAATGAAGTGGCAATAGGAGTTTTCCCTCTCACCATTTTGTGAGTTTTTGTAGTTTGTGTCTTTCAAGCAGTTTGTCCAACTTAAGAGTTTTTTCCAACTTGTTGAGTTTATTTGCATCAAGTAGTTTGTGATATTTTCTTATTATCGTTTAAATATATCCAGGATCTATATGATGTGCCCTCATTCACTCCTGATATTGGTTGTGTCTTTTCTCTTTCATTTTGGTCTCTCTGGCTATGGGTTTAACAATTTATCAGTCTTTTCAAAGGAACAGATTTTGGTTTGATTTATTTTTCTCCAATATTTTTTTGTTTTCAATTGCATTGATTTCTTCTTTTATCTTTATTATTTCCTTTCTTCTGTTTGCTTTGGGTTAAATTTGCTTATTTATTTATTTATTTATTTTTGCTGGTTGTAGAATTCTGGATTGGCAGTTTTTTTCTTTCAACATTCTAAAGATGGCACTCTGTATTCTTTTTGCTTACACAGTTTCTAATGAGAAGTCTGCTATAATCTTATCCTTGTCCCTTTGTAGGCAGTGTGCCATTTTTTTCTGACTGACTTCAAGATTTTCTCTTTGCCTTTCATTTTCTGTGATTTGAATATTATGTGTCTTTTTTTGTTTTTCGTATTGATGCTACTTGCTGTTCTCTAAGCTTCTTGGATCTATAGTTTGGGGTTTCTTATTAATTTTTGAAAGTTCTCAGCCATCATGTCTTCAGATATTTCTTTGCCCCATCCTATCCCTCCTCTACTTCTGAGATTTCTATCACACATGTGTAATACTGTTTGATATTGTTCCACAGCTCTTGTATTCTTTCTTCTTGATGTTTTGTTGTTGTTGTTGTTTTGTTTTGTCTTTCTCTTTGTGACTCAAGTTGGGTAATTTCTTTTGACCTATCCTGAACTTCATTCATTCTTTCCTTAGCTGTGTCAAGCCTCTTTATCCCATTGAAGAAATACTTCATTAGTGTCACTGCTTTTTTTTCTTTTTCTTTTGTTTTGTTTTGTTTTTAGTTCCGGCATTTCCATTTGGTTATTTCTTATACAGGCATACCTTGTTTTATTGTGCTTAACTTTATTGCTCTTCACAGGTATTGCATTTTTTACAAGTTGACGTTTTGAGGCAACTCTGCTTTAAGCAATATTGGTACCATTTTCCAACAGCATTTGCTCACTTAGTGTCGCTATGTCACATTTTGGTAATTCTTGCAATGTTTCAAACTTTTTCATTATTATTATATTTATTATGGTGATCTATGATCAGTGATCTTTGATGTTACTATTGTAATTGTTTTGGGGGCACCATGAACCATGCCCTTATAAGACAGGGAATTTAATCAATAAGTGTTGTGTGTGTTCTGACTGCTCCACTCACTGGTCATTCCCTCGTCTCTCTCCCTCTCCTTGGGTCTCCCTATTCTCTGAGACACAACAAAATTGAAATTAGGCCAATTAAAAACCCTGCAGTAGCCTCTAAGTGTTCAAGTGAAAGGAAGAGTTGCACATCTGTCACTTTAAATCAAAAGCTAGAAATGATTAAGCTTAGTGAAGAAGTCATGGCAAAAACCAAGACAGGCCAAAAGCTAGACCTCTTGTGCCAAGCACTTAGCCAAGTTGTGAATGCAAATGAAAAGTTCTTAAAGGAAATACTACTCCAGGAACACACATATGATAAGGAAGTGAAACAGTCTTATTGCTGATATGGAGAAAGTTTGAGTGGTCTGGATAGAAGATCAAAC